CACGGCACCATTTTCCCAAAACAGGCCTCTTACACGACGCCGCGTCGCCGGGAGGGATTCCCCCCGGCCTCTAGCGCCCGTAGCGGCCGGTTCGTTACACCAATCAGGGTACGGAGGTGGTAAATGACATGGATGAGGCGGGGCGCTTGTTACGGTATTTCGCATGGTTTTTGGGGCGGTTACTGCGCTGTTGTTCGTGCAAGACCACCCACACAAGGGTGGGAGGTAGGTAAAGGAAAGAATGCAGTATGGGACAGGGGGGCACTGTTCTTCACCTCGTCAGCTAGCCACTGATGAATTTGTGGGATGATGCGGCCTGCAGCTGTTCGATTTGGGATCTTCGTTCCTCAGTGTCATGGTTTGAAGCGTTGAGTCCTGTGGACTAACTCTCAAGTGGTCGTGGATCGTTGACTGGTTCCACCAAGCACAGGCGTATAGTTGAAGTTGATCATCTTAAAGATGAGGTGTTGGAGATTGTTTGAATGAATTATCAGTCTCAATACATATTGTAATATATACTGCATATGACCCTTGTTATCATGGCCTTGAAGAGATCAGGATAAGTCAGAAACGCCAGCGTCACAACGCCATGCTAGTCTGACGTTGTTAAATAGTTCGTAGACAGACAAGAAGGAAACCCATAACCGAGAATGGAAAGAAAGAAATAAATGAAGGGAATGGAGTGCTCGAGGGCTCGAGATAAATAGCCGCTGCAAAGGAATAAGACGCAAGAAGGAGCAAGCCAACCAAAAACATAGCCATGCTTTTCTCGCTCATAATGATAATGATGGTATCGATAGTCAAATGATATACTGCCCATAATGATGATAGTAACGCTGCACGACGCTAAACCCAATGAAAGTTTGGAGGTAGTTCTCATAGAACATTGTATGATAGGTGATGAGTTGTTGACCTAGACTCTGAGCCGACTGGAGCGGAAGGCCTTGATATCGATAGATTCCACTGAAACAGCCGAAGCGTCGTCAACTTCGATTTCGTCGGTGCATGAAGCGAGAGGTTTACCGCCCTCAGGTTCGGCAGCCGTCTTCGTAGGTGAGACCGTGACACTTTCCTTCTTCACGTCTTCTTTTAAAGACTCCTCAGGTTGCTCTGGCTTGAGATTTTGCGCTTCTTTGGTTGCTAATTCAAGTAGTGACCGGAAGTTCTCCACAACGAATTTCAATTCCGCCGAGCAATCTCCATAGCGCAGGAACTGGTAAGCCGCTGTCTCGCAATGGCTGTGTGCCAGCTCGAGCTGTCTATCTACCACATCAAAAACCGTTTCCTTCGGAGGAACGCGGCTTGAGGACGCCTCCGCGGGTGGAGGACCCCTGTTTCGCATGCTGCGGATATTGGTCAGTATGTCGCCATCAGAACAGTCAGCCTGCTCCAGAAGAGCTGGTGCTAGACGATTCTTCCTCGCGTCTGGGTTGCCCATGCGCGGTCGGAGCCCACCCAGGGAGATCTGTGACATCTTGCCTCGTCGCATATTGTTCCGTGCCGTACCAATATTCCGTACCATCTCCTCCAGAGACTTTTGCGTGTGGCCGTCGTAGTGGATGACCACGTTGTGTCGAATGCTGACAAAGTCCGCAGTCTCCTCGGCGGAGTTGATGGAAGGGGTCCCGTCGGCACTGCGTTTTCGGGGATTCCCAATCAACCTAATTTGGGCTATCGAGGCTCCCGCTGCAGTGCTAGGGGTTCCCTGGATTGGTTCGACCGAGGTACCACGATGCTGGGACGAAGAGAAGATGTCATCGGTGCGAATGGAACAGACGGAGCTGTTCTTACGTCGCCGGGGCCTCCCCGGGGCGTATTTCTTGTAAGCCTCGGTGTACTCGGCATGTTTCGCAGCAGTATAGGCAGCCAGTTCTGAAATTTGATCGATCCAAGTCGGCAGGTTGTCGCACATGTACGTGAAGGCTCCTAAAGCATCCATTGTCGGAGTCATGGCTGTATGCTACGTCGAACACAATTGAGAGATTAAAAAAAAGTAGAGAAACAAGGATGAAGGTAATCAATTGCCTCCAATCCTATTTAGAAATGGTATTTGAATAATCGTGCCGTCGTCAGTCGTGAGGTTCGATAGTGGCGAGTACCGTTGGTCGCGGTCGGAACCCGTTGGTTCCTCAGTATCCTCCCATAAGGCGGAGAAAAATGATCACCAAAAACAGTAGAAATCGGGCGAGATAGTAGTGAGCGTTTGGTCGTCTTTGAGATTATTGATTATTGTACTCAATGACGGTACGGACACGCCGCAAATAATATCGCAGGATAGGAAAGGAAATAGCTAAGAGATGGCCGTCGTTCGAACAAAGTCGACGGTCGAAGGTCAAAAAAGAGGTATGGGGAGGATGAGAAAAGAAACAGGGAGAATGAGACGGGTCGGGCCAGAATTATGGAGTTGAGTGAGCGGAGGCGGCGTATTACTTTTCGACAGAGAAGAGGTAACGTTACACGTGTATTACAGACGAGTTACCAAAGGTAGAGGCCGAACAACACCGTCAAGCACTCAAGGTACTTGTAGGAAGGGTTTGTTAGGTAGATGCCACCATGTATCATGTATCCCGTGCAGCTGAGCGGTACTTTATCATTCCCCGAAAGTGAAGCCCGAGACTTGGCATGGGTCGATGGCTGCAGGAAGCCGCATTTGTTGTTATCTTACGAGTTACGCTACGGCAGACTTACAGGGATATATATTACGTTACCGCTGCATGAGCGACTGTCATACAACAATCAAATTTAGGACTTGGGCTAAGAATAAGGACCCATACCCGACGGAAATTCCCTGCTAGTTTTCCTTGGCGGGTTGTCCTGACGTCTCTGTAAGATTACTAGGGTTGCCTTCAGTGACGATGCCTTGGAGTACTGCTAGGTACCTAATATTATTATTCACCATCGCAGTATCTTTTACTGTCTCCACGAACTCAGTAGATACAAATACAATGCAGGTTCTGCTGGCTTCTCGACTATCCAGAATACCCCTCCAACACCCATTTTAGTTGGGCTAACGCAAACCCAAGACGCTGCTGACGTTTGACGCTTGTCAAAGTTGCGGTGAACCGTCCGCTCGTGGATGGAAAGTTTGCGTGCAATTCGATATGCAAGGCAGCGGTTTCGTCTATCACAAGCTGCTGACTGCCAATCAATGCTCAACACCTTGTCTGTCTGCCGCCTGGAAGGATCCTGGAGAGTAAAGCGTGAACAACCTGACAAAACAATTGCATTGTTTCCCGCCCCGGATTCGATGATATGGGTCCTTAAAGTTGGCACTCCACGAAGTATGATATGCGTGGAGGGGTGGATGATCAGAGTGCGCATTGCCCGATGGGGTAAATGGATGCCATAACACGCCTGACTTCGATTCAGGCTGGAAGCCTTATTTGCTTCGTCTGCTCCACATCGGACTACTTGAGTCTCCAATTGCATCAGATAAATGGGTTCAGTCTAAGTAGGCATAATCAAGCAGCTCCTCGTACGAGGTACTCCGTGTCGACTTGAGGGCAGGATGCATTTGCAGGATCAAGGAAGACACAGAATTCTGAGCGATTGAGAGTATGAGACAACCATATGATGACTATCATTGACCGTTAAGATGACAAAATCAAGTGTCCGATCCGCATCATCACAGTGATAACGGCGAACTATTCCCAAGCAAGTCATGACACGTAACGGTTCCCGGACATAACAGGGATAGATGCAACAGACGCAGTAGTCACACTGAGAAAGCAAGAATCGACATCTGGTCGACGAGTGCCAGACTGTCGAGTTGCATTTCTCCTCAACGTCGGACTGCTGCCGAGCCGACCTACGGACATGAGTGGACATCCTGACACTGAGCCAGAACTTTAACAAGCCGAGATGTCAAACGGCTGACAACTGTCTTGTCTAGTTGTCTTGGGTAAGTCCACATTACTTGCTGATGGGCGGGAGAGCCCGTGGAGATGTCTTTGTTTAGTGTGAGTGTGACTGTACTACGTAGTCTCACCAAACATTAAAGTTCTCATAATAGTCTGATCTGTAACAAGCCAAACATGTTTGCTGTGCTGATCATGGTGGTACTGTGGGATTGTAATTAGACGGAGATCCAAAAAGACATGAAGTCATTATCTTGCTTAGATAGTGTGCAATGAGCATTGATTGCTCTTTGTTTTCCTATCCGTTGACCTTGACGTTGAGGCGAGTCAGTTCCTAGGCACCAATTTCCGACTTGGAACAAAGAATGATTTGAAATTCATGCCTGATCATCTTCATGTGACCTGATCAATTCCTCTTGATTATTTCGCCCTTCTCTAGCGTAGGAATACAGTACTTTTGTCTCCGAGTGTCGCCGGGTTATTCTCAATCGGGTAATTGGTAAGACTTTCCTGTTTTGGCTCGGGCTTGGCAACTTGCTGGCCGTCCAGACCTCTCCAAAGGAGTCGACGAGGAAGAAGGATCGTCAAGCTACGGGTCTACGGCAAGATGATGGGTTGGATTATCTTTACGAAGTTTCACTCGTTCTTGGTGGTGTTGCAGCAAACGTAGTCCATCTACTGGATGCGAAATCATGCAGCTTCAGTCAATCAAAATCATCAATTCTCGCGCGGTATCGTCGGCTTCTTAATAAACCATTTCTGAAACTTCATGCGAAAAAGAGAAGCAAAAGCAGAAAAGCTAACCAGGGAAAAGACAAAGCTGTACAGTACATGCAAAGCGGCAAACAGCAGGAGCCGCCCTGGGCCCACAATTCCCTCATTCAGTTGAGCGAGAGACAGGGCCCGAGGAACAGGCTGCTGAATACAGAGTAAAAAACATCAACCCAACGCAGATACAAAAAGCCACACCTCGCCCATCCCCTGTACGGGAGGTCAAGGGGGCAGATACAGGAACCGACCAGACCGGCCTTGCGCCGCGCTCTAATTACAGGAACAAAAGAAACAGCTGATAAAGGTTGCCGACAGCCGCAAAAGCAACACCTTGCAGACCTTCACCAGGCATGAGAACAGGGAGAGCTGCTTTCACAGCCCCCTGTTCCACACCTCCACCCAATTGTCAAGTGCTTGCTTGGCAGCTTGGAGGGATCGAATCGCAGCGAGCCACTTGGTCTCGGCGTCCTCCAGCTTCTGCTGCAGCTCTCTGCTGAGAACCGCATGCACTGACAAATGGGCGGCTCCTTCCAGATTGTTCATCGGGAAGGAGGGTAAAGGCCGCGACCCCGGAGCTGTGGCGGGGGACCTGGCAGCGGCAGGTGCCACGACGGGTGCTGGAGTCGTGTTTGCCGCCTGCTCAACGGCTTCAACATCACGCTCCGCCTTTGGCTTTCGCCCCCGTCGGGTTCGCTTCCGTGGAGGGCTGGACGCCTCCACGGAGCCGGTCCCTTCGACGCTCACAGCGGCTGCGGGTTTCGATTCAGTCGCGCCCGAAGACGCTTCCTCCTCGACTTCGACAAACTTGCGTTTGCGAAGTCCGCCCGGGGCCTGCCTCTTTGCGACAGAGACACCAGCTTCGGATCCGGCGGGACGAGGGGCGGACTCCGTCAACACCTCCTCTTTTTTGCCCTTCAACCGGATCCAAAGGGGTCTCTTCGCTGGTGGGGGAGCCTGGTCCTCCGCGCCCACCGAGGCAGAAGGGTCGCTGCCATTGCCAGCGTCATCCCTGACGCCGACGTGTGCCTCTGCTTCCCTCTTCCGTTTTCGGGAGGGGACGTTGCCTTGAAACAGTTAGCTCATCCCGATCAAAAGAGAATGGAAGAGAAGGAAACGTACTGTCATCGTCTTCGATGACCTGACGGTGCGTGCAACGTATTTTTGACTTCTTGCAGTTGGCACACGCCGGCGTCATTTTTTTACCATCAGCGCCTTTGGCCGCTGATGGCTGGATGCGCCGCTAGATGATCGTCAGCATAAACGTGCCATCGAAGCAGAGAGCGAGTCGGATACTAACCTTGCGGCTGCGGGAGGGCTGTTCCCCCTCCTCCACGCTAGAGGCCCTCTCGCTCCCAGCGGCTTCCTCAGCCTCGGACTGGGGATTGGCGAGGGGCTCGACGGCATGGGCCGCCTTCGCACTGTGGATGTTTGCCGTGTCAGCCTCAAGCTTGACCCTGGCACAGTCGAGGCACATGCTGGTCACCATGCCGACGAAACCCTTCGCGCGAGGGGCCCCGCACTTGACACAGAGCTCGTCTGCTTTCTCGGACATTGTGATGGTCTTTGGAGCTGACCCGTGTTAGCTGAAATGTCGCCAACAGATCCGAGCGATCGACAGGTATCTCACCGATGTGATGTGGGAGCTGCGCAGACGACTTGTGTTAGCGAGCTGAAACGACGCCGGGACATCAAGAAATTGACCAGTTCCTTACCAGAGACGTAACAAGCAGAGCTTGTATGTATGGAAATGATTGATTTATTTTTGAGCGCCTTGACAATAGCTAAAGAGCAGGATATGGACGAATGATGGTAATGATGGTGATGATGGCGGAGAGAAGAAGCAGAGAAGGAGAGAAAGAGAAGGCCAGATGGGAGGGGGCTTGAATACTCAAGCGACGCTAACAGACAAGGTAAACAAGAGTGTGAATGTTTAACTGAGATGGATACACTGAGTTGACGCTGCTGGAGCGGAATATTCCATCTAAAATCAGCACCAGGCTCCACACTGAGAGGGAAACAGGCGAGACTGGGAGACTCAATTCACTGCTCTCTGGAAAATCGCCTCATCTAAGCCCGATTGGGATGATATATGCTTTTATCGACAGGATATTCAGGGCATGTCCGGGCCTGACCCGGAACTGGATCGTCCGGGTGGTGAGCATGGAGGGGTTGGGGAGAACAGAACATGCTGAAGCTTCTTGATATTCACTCGTCTGCTCTATATCTAGTAACAAGGAAGCACGCTAGGACAAGACGCCTGTCTATCTGATCAGCACAGCACAAAGAAGATAAATGAGAAGAATGCAGCCTATATTATCACTCAGTGTGCCATAGAATAGTTGGAACAGTGTATTGGACTGCCCACTTCGCTGCGCAATTAGACTAAATACTTTGTCTACGGCCATAGCTCAGTCTCTTCCCATTTAGCATCATCACTAGTCCCACCAACAAGGGTCCAGTTCCACCGCTGTGGCTTCTCATAGTCTGACAGGTCCAACCGCTCAACCTCATTAGCGCGAATGACAACCACGCGAAAGTTCCCACGAGCAACAGGGTCGTGTAGATCATTCAGCTTCTGACCAAGCTTGAGCTCGGGATCAGTGGGTACCTGCGATCTCGGCGTCCCAGGCGGAGGGTTCTTGAACGAACCTATACAACGTCAGCTTTCAAATATGCCGTAACCAAGCACAATGGACGAAAAACCAACCTCTAAGAACAGGCGTATGGTTCGCAAAATACGTCGTCACCTGGCTCTCCCAACTCCACTCCTTCTCCTTCCCCTCACACCCATCACAAACCCTCAACCCCTTCCTAATCTCCTCCCTGGCCTTTTCCTCTCCCTCCCCACCGGACGGATCCCCAATCACAAACGCCTCTCCTCGCACCCGCCACTGATTACCCACATCCTTCAACCAGAACACCGCCTCAACCACATTCCCCGACGCCTCCAGCTGCCCGATCTTCTCCATCCGCGCATCCGTCGTAAACGAGATCATCTCGCTCTCGTACACGGGTGGGTTGGGGCGCTCGTTCTGCGAGTCTAGGGTCTTGAGCGCGCTAGAGTGTAGTTCTGGGTTTGGGAACCAGCCTCGGAAGCCGCAGGTGCGCGTGCGTGGGACGGTTTGGCCCTTTGCGTCGAGGGCGACGGTTGTGATGTTGAATTCGGAAGTTGAGGACTTGGAGAGGTGGGATTGGAAGGTTGAGAGCCAGGGGGCGCGGGGTGGCATTTTTGCTGGTAATGATGGGTTTGATGGGATACTGACGGTTGAAGTAGCGGATGGGGATGTAGATGTATACCGGCGTCGTAGTTGGAGGGCTAGGGAGGAGAGACGTTTGCTATAGATGTTTGGAGCCAGGGTGTGGTGCGGATTGCGGGGTTTGATATTGATTGATGGGAGGTATTCTGTTCTTTGCCCAGCAGAGTAACGGGAAACTAGCAAGCAGGTTAGTTAATTGGAGTATCTATCCTGCACTGAAGCGTCAAGCCATGTCATCTGGCAGAATGATCCTCAACGACAGATACATTATTATTGATGACGTTTGAGGCCGATATGCAAAGCACGTGTTATCTTATCAGATTAGAAGTCTTGGCATCAGGCAGAATCCTCCTTCAGTCAGGCCGTTATCAATTCGGTTACAACGGCTGATGCGAGTCAACTAGTAGTTGCGTATTCTGTGCCGCGATGACCCTAATGGACTAATCTAGGTATACTCGACTTGAAGAGCTTTTGTATTGTGCTGCCGAGGAACACGCATAAATAACTCCGAGTAAAAGAGAACCCACTAAAACCACACATGTGCCTCATGCAGAGCCCTTCAAAAACATATTCGAACACATAATTCCCGTAATAGAACAAGTGAAACTCAACGCCGGTCCGCATTCACGTCTGCATCCGATTCTCATCGTCGCTGTCCTCACCGGCATCAAGAGCGCCTCCGGGTATCCGCCCTTCGTTCAATTCTTTCTCCAGTCTAGTAATCTCCTGGAGACTTCTCGCCTCACGGATCATCTTTTCGACCCGCTTCCTCTCCTTCTCGGTCAGCTTGACCCTAACAGCCTTGTCTGCCGGTGCTCGCTCAGCGCCGCCAGACGGTACATCAAAGGTACGAGATTTGATGCCCATAATCTTGGACGCCAGAGCTGTTGGTTCTTCGGCAGTACCAAATAGTTCCTTCGCCTTTGCCCGCTCCGCGTCTTTCACTTTCTGGTAGTCGAGGAATCGGACGCTTGGTATCCGCCAGATCACCCAGTATCGGTAGTGCTATAGACATCAGCAACTCTTCTTCAGAGGACGCGTTGTAGTAGCGTTAAACATCGAATCCTGGGTATGGAACGTGCGCGAAAAGGCAGGGCAGCTCACCTCTTTCCTTGTAACAGGGTTCTCCAGTAACACCAGATGAGTCAAGCGTGTCAAGTTTCGGAGGGGGTCCAAGTCCGCCAACTCGGACATATTGTTCGCCGTGAGGACCAGCGTCGTCAGGTTAGGGATGGTGGAAGCTATCGTCGGCTGAATATGCTTCACCCGATTGCGCGCAAGAAGGAGGGTGTGGAGACGAGGAAAGTAGGGGAAGTTCCCCAGGGAGGAGATATCGTTATCCGTAAAGTCGATCGCATCTTGGTCCTATTGCCAATAAGCATTATCCTACAACTAGCCAACGAATCGAGCCGAGAGGCTCAACGTTTCGAACCAAACATACCTTTGCAATACCCAGGTTTTCAATGGTAGGAATTTTGTGCCCTACATATTTCAAAAAAAAAAATCGATATCAATCAAGCTCATTACAAAAGTGTAGTATCTGCCCTTTTCAGGCCAAAGTGCAAAACCCACCTCGAAGATCTAGCTCGCGGTCCTTCAGCGGATTGATGTAGGAAAGGGAATTCTGAATAAGTTCGACGGTCAATCGCATTCCGGCGGTGGAATATTATTGCTGCTTCTCTATTGGGGTATCATGCACGCAAGTAATGCGCAGAATCGAACAAAAGGGAAGATATAATTGAGATGACAACAAAGCAATTGAAATATATCGCAGAAAGCGGAGATTGAAGCCGAAGCTCTCTAGCGCATGGCTGAATTATTGAAGCAGCATTACCTCAAGATTTTGCCAGGCGGTGAGTTGACCAACTCAGCTTTCTAATGAAGCACGTGATGTTACAAGTGTTTGATTGAATCAAGAAATATCCAGCATTTCTGTTTATTATGGGCGTGCTATATAAGTGATTTCGAGTCTATGATACATGAGACCTCATTAAAACGTATAAGCCAAATTCCTTCCAGAGAACGGCTTGCGAAAAGATGTCGGAACAAAAGCAGCAGCTATGTACTCCGGAGCACAAGATCATAATTTAATGACGAAGGAAAGTAGAAAGCAATTCAACATCTGAATCGCATCGAAGAGTGACAGGGAAGTGCAGGTCACCGAGGAAAGTTTTCAGATGCAGGAGACACGATGGAAACCGTACCGTAACGCCAAACAATATGCAGATTAAACAGTATGGTCATTAGTCTTGATTTAGGGGAGTCATATTGGGTGATCTGTGAGATCTCGTCGGACTGCCTGTCCTAGAGCGACGGCCGTTTGTGGTCGGCCCTAGTGCTACTGGAGCCAGGTGGTCCCTACTCTCCGTCCTCACGACCAACCCGGCACGATCCATGGCATTGACGCCAGAGTCGGCGGTGATTCCCAACCCAATGGTCGATGTGGACGAATTGTCCAATCCAAATTTGAAACTAGGTGTGGTTGGACCGCTCCAGGTTGTTGTTCGCTTCGGAGGCATGAAGCTACTCGAATCCGTATCCGAGGAGTGTCTTCTGTCCAGAGAGCCACGACCGGAGCCTACCACACCCAGGTCAAATTCATGGGCACCGTCTTCAAGAACGCGCTCGTATGAATGTGAGCTGCCGCCGAAGAATGGTAGTTTGCCAGGGAAGGTTCTTCGCTTCCTGGGGTAGCTCGGATGAGGCGCACCTCCGCGCTTGAAGAGATTTTTGAACATGTGGTAACCTCTCAGTCGACGACTCCGACCGCAGAGGAAGAATGCAGCCATTGCAATAATAACCAGGAAAAGTAGGAATCCCGGAACCCTGCGCGAGGAATCACCATCAAAGAGCGCATCGTGCCAATTCGCAACGTGAAGCGACTCATTGCTGGGAAATAACTCGACGCTAGGATATTGGAAGTCATTGGGCACACCTGGAACATTGCTGCCAAAGCCAACCGGGAGTGTTTCTTGGGCTTCTTGAACTTCCACTGGAACCTCAGAGCATGCATAGAGCACCATTTTACCCAGTGTCCAGCTAACTTCGGTGGAGTGAATCTTGTGAACCGCTTGAAAAGGATCGAGGAATCCTTTCTCCTTGCCATGGGAAAGAACTTCCTTGGTTCCGTTGTGACCTGAACCAGTAGTATCCTCGAGACCCACGCGAGGGATACCGATGCCGTTGTGCAGCATATTGATGATCCATGAAGCCTTGAAGCAGACCTCGGAAGCCGATTCCCGATCGACCTTCTTTCCCCACGACTGTTTTTGTATACCCTGGTCGATGGCTTCCCAATCTTGTGAACAGAACTGTTGTACCCGCTGTTGATAAGTGTTGAAATCGTACGCTTTGTCCTTGTGCCCCATCTCAAAGATCTCATGCGTCGTATGCCAGTACTCGCTGATACCGATGAAATGATTCACATCAAAGTCAATAGCAGGGACATGCACTCCGTGAAGAAGGCAAGGTTCATCCGAACAGGGCGCATCCTTGTCCAAAAGCGGGTATGTTTGTCGCAAGCATTCATCGAATCGCCCAGTTCCCAGCAGAGATAACTCCGAAGTGTCGTCGGTCCGCAGAAATTTGCCATCAATTGCGGTTCGAAGCCCATTGGGGAGACAAGGGTCGGGAAGTTCCTTCGCGGTCCCGGCTGCGGTTTGTAGGGCCTCCAAATAACGTCTCCGTGCTTCGTGCACGCCAAATTCGAGCCAAGATGTCACAAAAACCCGATGCTCCTGGGTGGAACCGTCAATGTTTCGCAGCCGAAGTAGAGTCAGGTCATTCGCGTGTTTCTCGGTCTCGGTTAGATTCGGCGCAAAGGCAATCTGCGCGGATGCACCACCCATGTCCAAGAACCCATAAGTATGATGGCCCTTGCCATGATCATGTCCTTTCGGTTCATCAAAGCTGCCCAGCAAATAATTGGTCGCGATCCATCCGTAGAGGGCCTCCGTCACCCCTGGGATGACCTGAATGTGCACGCCGCAATCAGGAAGCAGAAAATCATAGTTCTTGCTGGCGTAGGAGCAGATCTGTTGTAAAAGAAGCTCGCGATCACGATTGGGTAAGAGTCGCATCCCAGCAGTGGCTAGTAGAAAGATCGGAGTATCCTTTATCTGATCGGCGGGGACGATCTTGCGCGCATGATCGAGGAGTTCCGCAAGATGATCGGGGCCTACTGCCTCGGGGCTGTCGGCGAACGATGACACGCCTATAACAATGCGATTGTCAGCGAGACGGATTCCGAAGGGAAAGTGCCGACATGTCCTCTGATATAACCTACCAGGGTGTATCTTTTTCGTCCATTCCGATTTTGTTTTGAGCTCCGGTAATGTTTTCAAGTCATCACTTTTAGCGCGCTTGCGAGCAACAGCGGGATCCAACCACCGATAGACGTGCACTCGAGTCCCCTGTCTCAGTTGTTAGCAGGGAAGCAAATCCTTTCACAGTTAAGACGCTTACAGATGATCCCGCATCCAGGACGATGCCATAATGCCCTAATGCGACACGATGGTCAGCTGCCGCTTCAACAGCGAGGAACAAAGTAAGCTGAAAAGGGGAGTGGCGGCATACATTTGCCCATTGGTAACGTGGAGGAAAAGCCGATATTAGGATTATATGCCAAGCATTGCCGCCAGATTGGCGATCTTTAAAAAGCGAACGTTTGAGAAGCGACAACACTCAGTTGTGAACAGGCGTCGAAGTTAAGCAATGCGACAGCATGCAACCGTAAGCTACACCGGGGGCGAGCGATGGACGACGGAGAAGGCGGGGAAACCGGGGGAGAAGAGAGACCAAGTTTCAGATGGAGCAAACGAATGGCCTTGCTTAAGCAAGCTAAAAACAACAGAACAGGAGGAGAAGAGGACGACGACGCCTAGAAGGAAGACGACAATGATGCGTACAAGGGTCTATCTGGAGGGGAGAGGGAAAAGAAGGGCCAGAAGAAAGTTACAGGGTAACGATAAGACGGGAACGGATGGCGACAGAACGCGACCACTCCCGTCGCCGATCGCCAGCGGGACCGTACACCGGAATACCACTAGTCCTTTATTAGAAGAGGTCTGGAACCATCTGGATATCCGGATTTCATGATAGTGACATTGGTCATAAATTGCACTCATCGCAACCCGGATATAAGTTCCATAATTTCTGAGATATAAGCGACTGAATACAGTAGCATAAGGAACAACTCTCAACTGGACCCTGTACTAGGCTTTTCGAGAGTACGACAATTTCAGAAGACTTACGTACTCCAGGCCCAGCCTCAGACGTTCATGTTCCCATCTCCCACCCTCCTTTACAATCAAAACACTGAAAATAGCCCCGAAAAGTGCGCTAAAGAGCACTAAACTTACGCACTCCGGCCGGATTGACGTAAGCTCGCCCCACTTTGCTGAGTTTGCCCGTCGAGTCATTGGCGGAACTTGACAACTTTATCTCCTGCAGTGAGACTGGCAGATAGCCTGATAGTTGACCCTGAGACATCCAAGTGTCATCCATCCACGGTTAGGATTCATCTATGCTATACGGAGTACATTTTCTAGAAGACCATGAATATGATTGGATTCAAAGGTGGTCTTGCAGAGATTGCCCCGTCTGAGTTATAGCGAGTTATGCATGGCATCCGTTTCCAGTCATGAATCCCTGCAGATGGCAGTGTGCACGGCGTAGTCCTCCATCGTCCTCTGTTCAGGAACATAGTAAACTCCAAATTGGCTCTAGTCTACGTGCTGAATGGGATGCATTCCTCTCCACTCATCCCTCCGTGAGCCTGTGGTCCCAAGGGTAGCCCACACGGTAACACCCACTACCAACTCCACCCATAGGGTCATGTCAAACTTCAAAAACCCCGACCTATGGGACTCCACCTAAGTGAATAAAGCTAAGATCTCATTGTAAGAAATAAATTATCTAACCTACATTGCTTTCCCCGCGAGAGTTTCATCCTTTGAAACTGATGACCGTTTCGAAACCCCGATAATGGTTGGCGTTGTCACGGTAGTAGAGTTGTCCACTAAGCTCCAGTCTCCAATCTGTTCGTCAAAGAGCTGAGCCTGGTCAAGTCCGATGATCTCGGATTCCTCGTCGACCCGCAGGTTCAAACCGGGGATGAATTTGAGAATGTATAGCAAGACGCAGGAGACCACGAACGAGTAACCCGAAATGGCGCAGATTTCAGCCAGTTGGTAGCCAACCTGAATACCATTTCCATCAATAGCACCACTTGAAAATGTGAGCCCATCAAGAGAGGAGATATTCTCAGTTGCAAACAGACCCGTCAGGAACGCGCCGACGATGCCACCCACACCATGGAGCTTGAATACATCCATGCCCTCGTCAATATTCAGCCAGTCGTTGATATTCTGCAGGAGGGAGCACACAATGCTGGTGATGAACCCAATACAAGCTGCTAGCCACACGGACACGTACCCGGCAGCGGGGGTGATGCCCACCAGACCGGCAATGGCTCCTTCACAGGCTCCAACTACGGAGAATTTTCGCTTGTGTTTGATGTAATCAACCATAGCCCATCCTAAGATGCCTGTGCTTGCTGCCGTATTAGTGTTGAAGATGACCACCATAGAACGCACACTAGCATTGAGAGTTGAGCCGCCCTGTCATTGGTTAGCCCCGCGCCCTTCAAGGCAGACAATTGTTGATAATGACCGTACATTGAATCCCAGCCACCCAAAGCAGATCAGAACGGTTCCGATGAAGACCAAAGTCGTGTTATGAGGTTTGCGCAACGAAACCATGCCGGGATCCTTTCGCTTTCCCAGCACCATTGCGTAAGCCAGGGCAGCCCAGCCGGAAGCAATGTGAACAGGGCCACCACCGGCGAAATCCAAAGCTGGAAGATTATAAAGCCAGCCGTGGCTGCTCCATGTCCATCGCGCCACCGGGCAGTAGACGAGTGTGGCCCAGAAGAAGCTAAATATCAACGATGGCAGGACATTTCCACGTTCAACAGCCCCACCGACGACAATCATCACCTGCCCTTATCAGCGTACGGGTCTCATCTGTCGCAAGTGTGCAGAGGCTCTCACCGTGCAGGCGCAGAAAAGCAGCTGATACAAACAAAAGACAATTTCAGGAAGCACTGCAGAACCCGGGGACGGCGCAACAAGGACATCCCTCATTCCGAAGTTCTTGAGAGTGCCAATGAACGGACCGCCGTCCCTGGAGTAAGTAAGAGAATAACCCCAGAACATCCATTGAAACGTCGTCCTATTCATGCTCAGTATCATCCAAGTAGTCCGGTCTCAGAGAACGTACACTGCAAGGATCATCCAGGACTGGAAAAGCAGAGCCAAGGCAGATTTCCTGCGTGCTAACCCACTATAAAGCAGACCGATTCCAGGCAAGATAAGCCAGACAACGAAGCTGCAGGTCATGATATAGACGTAATGATACTCGAATCCGGCATACTGCGCATTCACATCGAGTTTGGTCGGATCACCACCTTCGGGTGTCGAGGCATTGTAGACCGGCTATCGTCCGTGAGCCGTCGTCAGTCATGTTCAATTCATAGCGCAAAACTGCATCATGAAGATTTGTACATTAACATACATCACTCATACTGCAGGGTGTTCGTCGCGCAGCTACGCTTTCGGCTCGCAATCAAACAGCAATACAGAGTTGCGTAGCGATCAAGGGCCCTGCAAAAAGGCTCAGGCGCGTTTATCTATCCTTGTTTCTCGAACTCTTGGTGGTTCTCAACCACCGAAAGATGAACCTTCATGGCAATGATACGCACAGAGCAAATCATGAAATTCATCGGGATAACTTACTCCAACAGCACAGGAAAGACGCTTATCTATTCGCGCCAGGTTCCAGGACGCCAACTTAGGCTCCATAATCACGATAACACAGCATGAGTTACTAGATAGCAGGGCTCTGGTCTTGTTTCACTGCTGTTGCCAAGGTGCAATGAGGCCAAACTCCCAGAGGACGCTGATAAGGCGTAAGGCTGTAGCTGTCGCTCTTAACAACACCGGATCTTTCATCCCTCTAGGGTTTAGAGCTGTATCAGCCTGCGTGTAATGGGAAATGCAATGCGTGAGGGCCGATGGTGATCATTGGTGGTAGATAACAGAACTCTATCAGGGTTGCAATCCGATAAGAATGTAAATTGGGGCTTTGGACCGATTTATAGGACAGGCCCGTCTGACCTGATATACATTAATAAGAGTGTCATTGTTGAATCGCTGACAATATATCCGCATATCAGTTGCAGAAAGATGCAGCAGTCCAATTTTGTATAACTGCACCACAAAGCCCAACCCTAAATCTGGAAGACATGTGCTATTGCGCGCTGATGCCCTTAAACAACCCGAAGGGAATATGGCCTTGGACTTACTGTGATAGCTCTTTATAAGGCAGGTAGTTCTTGCATATACTCAATGAGAGTTTTACTTTCTCATGTTTTCCAAGACTCAAGTTCTTTGACGGCAATATCTATTCCAGGAAGCCAAATCATCATTTGGGACAAAGCGGGAGTAAATCAACGTCAATAACGCTGTCGATTCTCGAACAAATAGAACAACATGTTCAGTATGCCAACATCCATATAAACACGCAGTAGGTCACGATCCCAGGTAGATCAGGCAAGTACGTAGGTAATAAATCTAGCGTTTCAGGACCAATCAGCGCCTGTGTCAATTTCGCTGATTGGTCTTAGTGCTTCAAAGACTCAGATTTCCCCGGAGGATACGAGATGCTGAAACCAGCTGAGAGCTTCTTAAACCAGCCCATGTTCTTCGAATATATCAACGCAGAGTCTTCCAAGCCTCCTGATACTTGTGCCATCCTCAAAGCTTCGCGGAGGCGGTTTCGGCGACCAGTCCAAACCTGCACCCGCCGTCACGTTTTTGAGTATTTCAAGACATTCAGAACATGGCTCTCCACATGCGCCGTGATAGTCATATGTGCCATATCTGGCAGCCGTGTAGTGCATATACACCATGCATGCAATCACATATCCGGCAGACATGGGATTGAATGCTGCTCGCTTCAGAGTAGCCTCCAAATATGTATGGAAGGGATCTTGTATACTTAACCCATATGTTGCTGAAACCCCGTTCTCATGGTTCCCGGCTGCTTTGTCAGACCTCCAATCTAACAAGTCGTGTATGGCCGTCATAACTTCCGGTGAGACAAGTCCAACCTCCAGAGATTCTTTATCATATGTATAGCCACTGTAGGGTGAAGTGCAGCCCCCAACCGCTCTCCAGGCCATAGCTGCTTGCGGAGTGAGCTGATCACCCGTTTATGACATTGATGACTTGGCCACCACATTCATACACCCACCCAAGTGGCAAGGCAACGAGACGTACACGTGTTTCCAAACTGGCGAATGAGAATTTGGCGTAGTCATCACACGCAGAAATGGTGGGAACTGAGCCTGCTTTGACAGCTGCTTCTGGTTCCAAAAAGGCTGATAGACCAAGTGACAATGGCATAACACCAGATTCAAATAGCCCCACCCCCAAGGGGCTGGGAGAAGGATAATATAGCGCGCCTAAGTTCATTCTGCCTGTACTGCATACATTTGACTTAACCCCTACAATCAATAGGATT